ACACAAACCAACCACACAAAATACCTGGAGTTCAGGAATCTAAGGTTGTCCTCTGATGCATAGTTCATACTATGCCTTGGCTGCATAAAATCTTGTCTTGCGGGGCGTTGGTGGCACATGCCTTCAATCCCAGCATTTCGGAGGCAAAGGCAGGCGGATCTCTGTGAGTTCAAGGCCAGCCTGGTCTACAGAGTGAAAGCCAGGACAGCCTCCAAAACAATAAAAAGAAACCTTGTCTCAAAAAACAAAACAAAAAGACCTGTCTTAAAGAAATCTACAGGATGGAACTAAAACTGGAGTGGAAAGAAGAGGGGGAGATGTATTTGAATAATTTTTTGTTTTTATTTTTAAACAGGCCAGGATCTTCCTGTCTCAGCTTCCTCAGTGCTGAGAAAGACAATGGTGACCAGTCAACCTTGATTGTCAAGCTGTACACACTGAACTTGAGAGGCTACCCTCGTATACTTAAGATCCCATCAAAATAAATAAATAAATAAAATTTTAAAGCTATGTTAAGGCTTAGGCCCCATGCCCCAGAGCTTCCTGTCTCACTGAAGAACATAAGAGCAATAATGGGATTCTGTTTCTTTTGTCCTCAAGTTTCTGTGTCCACCTCTCCTTCCTATCTTAAAGGTTCTTCCAGGAGAGGTTACCAGGTCAGAAGACAAAGATGTCCAGAAGGTACCTGCAAATACACTTCATAAGATAAGGCAGTTGGTTTGCCTCTCTCTTATTTTATTTCATTGAGTCAGGATCTCACTTTACAGGTTTGGCTGGCCTGGAGCTCACCGTGGCTGTCTTCAACTCACAGAGATCTGCCCTCTTCTGTGTCCTGAGTCCTGTACCACCACATCAGACTTGCCTCTAGTCTTTTACTCCTCAAATGTTAAGGGTATGGATGTCACCTGAGACTTTATTTTCTTTTTAATTTTTAATAAATTTGCTGGTGTAGCTGAAGAGAAGATGGCTCAGTGCTTAGCATCATGGTGATCTTCCAGAGGACCATAGTTCTGTTCAGAGAACTCACATCAGGTAGCTTACAATCACCTATAACTCTTAGCTCCAACACATAATATAAAAGAACCTTTAAAAACTCTGCCAGATGTGTTAGCACATGCCCTTAGTCCTAACACAACACTCATGAGACAGACCCAGGCAAATTTCTGTGATGTCTAGGTCAGCTTCATGTACATATTCAATTCCAAGATAGCCAAGACTACATAGAGAGAACATGTCTTTTTTTTTTTTTAAGGCAACATTTTTTTTTTATGTGTTTGGATGTTTTGTTTGCACACAGAAGAGGGGCATGATCTCTTGAAACTGGAGTTATAGTTAGCCTCCATATGGGTGTTGGGAATTGAACCTGAGTTCTCTGTAAGAGTAGAAAGAACTATTAACCACTGTGCGATCTCTCCAGCCCCTGAATTAAATAAATAAATAAATAATTCTAGTCTTTCATAATTATAGTTCTAGAGAATCCTCAGATAACTCTGCTCAGATCTATATACTTCCCCCCTCCCCAATATGTAGCCTAAGGTGACTGACTTCAAACCATGTATCCCAAGCCCACCTTAAACTCCGAAGTGCTAGGATTACACGCATGCATTTTAAGTGACCAAACTCTAACCTTTTCCTATTAGCCAGGCTAATCCAGGACAAATCAATTCTCTGTCATCTGAGAAGTCACTTAACTCTCACCTGGCTGGGAGACAGGGAATCAGGCAGACATGAAGAAAAAAATGGAATTGACACCATCAGATGACGGAAGAGTGTTGAGACAAACCTCCGGCAGTTTTTATTTGAACCTCCATCACCACCCAACCCTAACCCCAAAACATCATTCCTGCCTGCAACTTCCAGCACCTTTGGATGAACACACACACACACACACACACACACACACGCCTTCATCCTAGGATTATGTTATCTACTGTTTGAGCCGACCTTAAATGTGCCCTGGGATAAAGCTACAGTGCCATTCTGCCACTCTGTCCCGGCTCAGCCTCGTTCAAGTACAGCCCTCCTCTTCCACACTGCTAACTTAACATTTTTTAAAATGGCTTTTACACTTTGCGGGTTCAAGGGAGGCCAAAATCCAGGCCTAGGACACTGCCCCTTAACTTCACTAGGGGGCGCGACGGCCCCGGCGACGCAGCGACTGTGGCCGGGTGGCACCCTCCCCCCGCCCCCCCAGGGCTCTGGGCTTTCGGCCGTAGGTTACCAGCGCTCCTCCTACGACCTGAGCGGGAAAGCCCGGGCAGCGCTCAAGCTGCGGCCAGAGACTTCTAAGAGGCCCCACACACAGTTTGGGAGGCATCGCCGGGGTCTGAGCTCGCCCTCCTGAGCCGGGCGCCCCGGGCCGGTAACCAGGCGCACATGGCCCGCCCGGCCCTGTTTGTCCTGGCAGCGCGCCGCCGCTATTTGAGGCGGTTTTTATCTCCCAGAAACCAGCAAAACCCCAAGCCGAGTCTAGAAAGATGAAAGGGGCCGAGGGGCCTGGGAGGGGAGGACTTCGAGGCTGCGGCGAGCGGGAGCTGGCACCGGACAGGCGGAGCCCCGGAGGCGACATGGCCAGCCCCTGGGGGGTCCTGTGCGCCATGGGGTCGGGGGTCCGCTCTCGCCCTCTGCCTCCGGTGTGCGCCCGGGCGCCCCCAGGTCCTGCCCACTCTCCCGGGTCTCCTTCCACATGGCCCCCAGCCCACTCGACAAATGCTCGGAACTCGGATTTCTTCAAAGTGTCTTTGAAGCCTAGCGCCGGGCCAGAGGGCTGGGGATCTTGCACCTAGGCAAAGGCACGGGTTTCGCGGGGTGGGGTCGCCTTCGGGTCCCGCTCCTCCACTCCAGCGGCAGAGTGGACGGTTGTCCGGGCCGCTGCCCGGGAAAAGGCCTTACGCACGCCCCCAGCCCAGCGGGGGAGCCCTGGGGGAAGGGGCTGCACAAAGCCCTATTGTGGCTTGGGGACGGCCGCCACAGAGTGGCTTTTGTTCCTCCACTAACTCCGAGGCAGGCACGGCTGATTGCAGGCCCTGGGCAGGGGGCGGGTTACGTGCCAGGCGGGTCAGCCAGCCTGGAGTCTCACCACCGACGTGCAGGGGCTGCGCTGCGAGCTAATCCATACTGTGACCACAGTTGTGATATTCAGGCTTGGTCACTGCCCAGACCAAGGTCGATGGTACCCACTGAGAAAGAGCCCTGGAAGAAGACTCGGCCTTCCTGACTTTTCAAATAGCACCGGGCGACTAAAAGCTCAACTCCGTTAAAGAACTTGGCCGACCAAGTTGTCATTTTTTTAGCTTTCAGTGTGAAGCGCAACCGAGCCGGATTAAATATCTCCGACAGGAAGTCCCCGTTTTGCTAAGGAAATGTCCCACGGCCCATCCATCTCCTTCCTCTTCCCCTTTTCTCACCAGACACAATTTCAAATGGAACTTTTATTTATTAAATTAAAAAAAGAAATATTCCGCAAGGGGATGATCCCTTCAACGATGTTATTCTCTTCTCGCACTCCACTGGCTTTTTTCTGGGGGCCTAGAAGGAGCAGAGGACGGAACAGGAAGAGCCAATAGTCTCAGAAAAGGCGTTCAAAGGCACGAAGCGGCTTTTAAAAGTCACTGGAACGGGGTAAACTCCTAGATTGGGGGCCTGTGGATGTACCCCCAAATCCTTTAAGGGACCTCTGTCCTGCTATAAATTCTTTCTCATGGCTTCTAGGCACCAGGCCTTGCACATAGTAGGCATTCAATAAATACTTGATTTATGGATTTGATCCTAGAGAAAGCCTTTCCCCACCTATTTTGCAGAAGGGGCACATCCAAACCAAAGTCCTCCTGTCAGGTGGGCTTTCCCCCAAAGGACATGTTTAAGATGACAGCCGCAAGCTCTCCGTAACCATGACAACGGGATTAGCCGATGAGGTCTCAGGGTATGAGGAGAGGGTCAGTGGCAGAACCTGCTGGAGGTCCAGAGAGCTGGGGTACAGTCCAGTCCTCCCCTCCGTAGGACTTGAAGTTTCACAGCTTCTGGCTGGGGCTGGGGATCTTAGTGACCTAACCGAGAGATACCACATAAACTCTAACAACCCACTTTTTAAAACTCCGCTGAGAGTCGGGCAGAGGCAGGCGGATCTCTGTGAGTTCGAGGTCAGCCTGATCTACAAAGAGAATTCCAGGTCAGCCTCTAAAGCTACAGAGAAGCACTGTCTCAAAAAAAAAAAAAAAAACCTCCCCTGAAAAAGAAACCCATTGAAACCTCAATGGTAGAGATCTAAGAACAAGATCTCCACTATTGTTTTGTCTATAGATATATTTGACGAGATTTCCTTCCTTAGCAAAAAAAAAAAAAAAAAAAAAAAAAAGATCCCCTCCCTTCTCCAGCTCACTCTACCTGACCCGTCATCATAACTTAGATAAATAGAATTATTATTATTACTATTCTTTACTCCTGGCACATAAAGTTAAGTACTCAAGGCTGGGGGCAGCCTCCCTGACCCTGGGGTCACCCCATCTTTGGGATCAGATCCCTGCTGGTCTGCCCCCTTCTTGGCACTCTGCTCTCAGCCAGGTTGTTAATACCAATCTCCCTAACGCAGCTTCCTAATGAAGAACCACCAGGGGGCAATAAATTATCATCATCATTGTGTTTGTTTTGTTTTGTTTTTTTAAAAAAAAAAAAAGGTTCAAAGGGATGGGAAGCACAAGGTAAATCTGGAACACAGACTCGAAGCTGCAGTGGCAAATAGGGTGGGGAAGCAGAAAGACTCGATGGCAAAGAGTTGAAACCCAAATGGAAGGAAAGTAAGGGAAGCTGTGAACAGGGGCAGGGAGGAAAAAATATAGGAAGCCAGAGCACAGGAACTGGGCACAGACAAGGGTTTCAGGAGTTTGGCTAAGACTCCTGGCAAAGGGAGGAGATAGCCAGGCTATGAATGTCTAGGGAAAGGCGGAAAGAACCCCGAAGTATAGCATGCATAGGAGTGAGGGGCAAGCAGTGATCCTCCGCACCAAGAGAGCCTGGGAAGAGGACCCTGGAGACCTTCCTCTATCCAGCTCAGATCTCTAGCAGATTGCTCTGCTCCGGGCTGCCTCCAGAGACTTTCTCTGGGGGTGCAGGCGAGGTGGAAGATCGGGGAGGTTGACTGGCTTCTTCTTCCCCGACGCTGCGGCTCTCCCCCAGCTCCTTAGGGCCACTTGGGGGCGGCCCCGGGCCTGGTTCCCCATGGGTACGCTGGTGTTTGCTCAAGTGGTCGCTTCTGGTAAAGCGCTTGGAGCAGAGGAGGCAGGTGAACTTCTTCTCCCGGGTGTGAGTGCGCACATGGCGCTCCAGCTCATCGGAGCGGGTGAACCTCTTGCCGCAGAAAAGCCAGTTGCAGACGAAAGGCCTCTCGCCAGTGTGCCAGCGCAAGTGGGCTTTCAAATGTGAAGCCTTGCCGTACACCTTGCCGCAACCAGGAATGTGGCAGCTGTGAATGGGCTTCTTTCGCAGCCCAGCCGCTGCTGCCCCCAGCCGCTCTAGCTCCTGACAATTGGGACAGTCGCAAGTAGAACGCCCTGCCCCACTGCTGGAATATCCACCACTGGCCCCAGTGCCTGCACCCCGGGGGGGTTTGCCTGCACCACTCCCCTCCAGTTGGCCACTATTGCCAACTGCCTTGGGCTTATAGACATCTTGGGGTAGGACATGCTGGGGCCCTGGCTGCAGGAGGTGGGGCGCTGGGTAGGGAGCTGGATTAAGGGGGGCAAAGTCAGATGGGTAAGTAGGCAACTGGGGGTTCAGTGGAGGCTGGGCAGGGCCTGTGGACAGTGTCCCTTGCAGCCCATCACTCTGGCCCTGTCCACCACCTAGCCAGTTGCCCCCAGGATGCATGTCCCACCAAGGAGTTGGTGTGTTGCCTGGACCTGGTGAGATGCCTGCATGGATACCTGCCTTGTACCAGGAGCCATAGGGATGTGCCATGTCCAGAGAGGTGTAGACACTAGGCAGGCAGTCAGAAGAGCCGTGCCCCTTAGGCACCAGTAGCCCAGGGTCTTGGGCACCCGTGGGCCCGGGAAATGAGTGAGGAAAGGGTGGATAGTCGTTGGCATAGCCAGAGGCCGGGGCTGGAGGACTGCCTGCAGGTGACAGGAGTCCATTGGTGCTTGAGAAAGGAGCTGGGTAAGCATCCCCCATGGTTTTGGGGCCTGACAGGTCGGAATATGGCTTCTTTGTGGTTCCTTTTCCCAATGTCGTTGAGTCCCGCAGAGGGCTAGAGCCACCAAATTTACTGCAAGCTGCTGTCAGCATGGCCAGGGGACTGCAGCCATAGTGAGCTTCTTCCTGTAGATAGAGGGAGAGGGAGAGGACTGCTTAGGAACAATGAAGAGAAGAGAGAGCGAAGGACGTAGCTATGGGACTGAGACCTATAGACAGAGAACAGAGCACAGAGCTTAGGGAAAGGTTAGAGAGAAAGGGGAACTATAGGGAAGAATGGTGTACCAGTGAGGTCTTGTACCAGGGCAGAACTATGATCAAGTCTTAAAGGGACAGAGAGGCCCAGACCTGATACTCTAGTCCACTGAGGAGTCTGAGAGAGACCTGGCTGAGGTGAGAGTTAGGGTCCTGACTCAAAAAAGATGCCCCTTAAAGAGAAGCATGCTCCGAATGCAGCGGTTCACACCATAATCTTAGCACTGAGGTGGAGGGTGCAGGAAAAGTCAGAGGCTCCGGTCATCAGTTACATAGCAATTCCAGGCCAGAACAGGTTACACAGATAGACCCTGTCACTGTACAAACACACCAAGTATGGTGGCATATACCTTTAGGCCTCAACTCTGGAAGCAGAGGCAGGAGGATCTCTATTAGTTCCAGGCTACCATGGTCTACATAGTAAGTTCCATAACAGCCAGGACTATGTAGAGATACCCTATCTGGAAAAACCAAAACCAAAACAAACAAAAAGCCTAGCTCCTCAGGATGCTCAGGCGGGAGGGTCACTTGAGCCCAGGAGTCTTTGAGATGGGCTTGGTCAGCACAGAAAGGACACCTTCTTCCATACCTTCTCCACAGAAAGCAGTGTAGGGTACAGAGAAGCAACAGTACTGGGGACCATATTTGACCCCAATCCAGATTTTCCTGGCATCACCCCAATTCCATTTCCTGTTTCTGCTTCAGCCCCTGACTAAAGAGCCACTGCCTCATCTCCCTGAAGTCAAGACCACATGGCATGGATGGACCTTGGAGCTGGGGAGTTAAAGGACAGCAGAGACACTGGGACATTGAGAGGGAATAGGGCTGTAACCAAGCCTAGACTGTGGTGAAGCAAGAGTGACTTTCAAGCAGACACTGGGTACCTCCTGCTTCTTGGTAATGGAAGAGTCCAAAGTCCTCAAGACTCCCCAAGACAGGGAGCTGGTTAGGACACTGGGTCACAGCCTTACTCCTCCATGTCTCAGTATCCCCGAATGTGTGGTACATGGGGCTAGTCTGCACCATACCATTCAAGTGAGTGAAGGAAGATGGGAAAGTGGGCTGAGGGAGGACTTTTAGAAACACAGAAGTAGTCAGGTGGTAGTGGTGCAACCTTTAATCCCAGCACTCAGGAGGCAGAGTCAGGCAGATCTCTGAGTTTGAGCCAGCCTGGCCTACAGAACAAGTTCCAGGATAGCCAAGACTACACAGATAAATCCTTTCTTGAAAAACAAACAAAAACCAGAGGTATCTCCTTAATGCCTACCAATGTGCTATGACCAATCTGATCACCCTTGTGCCCATCATTCTTCAGGAGCTCTCCATACCCCTCCTCAGGTCTTTAGGAAGAAGTGCATTCCAGCATCCTTGGTTAGTATGTACAAGGTCCTGGATTCAACTAAATTGCCTTACATAAAGGAAAGAAAATAAAAGACAACCTTCAAAATCTTGACCATGTGGTGCCAGTAAAATGGCTCAATGGGCAAAAGCATTTGTTACCAAGCCTGATGACCTTAATTTAATCCCCAGAACCCACATGGTAGAAAGAGAGAATGCCTACAAGTTATCCTCTGACTTCCACACATGCCATGGCATAACATTCACATAAATACACCCTACATCTCTCTCTCTCTCTCTCTCTCTCTCTCTCTCGTGTGTGTGTGTGTGTATCAACCATTTTTTTAAGAGCTAGTCATTGGATGTGGCGGTGCACACCTTTAATCCCAACACTTGGGAGGCAAAGACAGGTGGATCTCTGTGAGTTCGAGGCCAGCCTGATCTCCTGAGCAAGTTCTAGGTTGGACTCCAAAACAATGCTGAGAAACCCTATCTCGAAAAACAAAAATAAATAAATAAATAAAACAAAAGAAAAAACAACCAAGCTTACAAAGGACTCTCCAACCAGCCTAGTGACTCCCAGTTCAATATGTATGTGTGCATGGCATGATGTCAAATCCTATAGATAAGGCTAGTGTCTCAGGGTTTCAGTGACAGTGTTGGCACTCATGATTCCTGTTCTGCACTCCATCTCTTTTTGAGGTCCTGCCAACCCTATGGGCTTTCAAACATGAGCTATCAAAAGCCACCCAAATAAACTTTTGATTATTGTCCAACAGTAAAGCCCTGGGCTTTCCTGTAAGGGTTTCCCTGAAGCCTCTAATGGCCCAAGCAGAGAGTTTAGGCAGGAGAGCTGCTGAGGCAGGAGTGAAATCTTAGCATGGAGGGGAGGTGACGCGGTGGGAGCTCACACATGGAGATGCAGAAACATGGGCCGCAAAGGACACTGTGCCAAGCAAAGCTCCATAGAGACAGAGAAGAGGGGACCATAAAGGAAGATGTTTACATTAAGACAGACACAAGTGGACAGGAAATTTAAAAAACAAAAGGGTGGGGGATGAGTGAGGCAGAATAAACAAAGGAGAGCTGGTAAGAGATCCTGGGCCAGGAAAGCTAAGGAAAACACAGGAGAAGGAAGACAGAGGAGGAGGAAGGCATACACTTCCCACCTAAGAGAAACCCACCATGGCAATGGGCCACAGAAAACGCTGGACCAGGCCATTCCTCCCTCCTTCTCCCCTTTAGTTGCTGCCCCCTCCCCCCTCTGCCCAGCACGGCCCTGCTCGGCTCCTGCTCCGGTGGCTTCCCTGCGGTTGGTTTATTTTTAAAAACGCCGACGCGGTCCCCCGCCTGCCCGGCCCTCACACTGTGGCCACAAGGGCCTCAGCCAAGCCCAGGGACCCCACCCAGCTGTGGGGAGGCAGGGAGGGGTAAAATAAGACAGCCAACCCTAAGCTGACATGAGACCCCCGACTTTGGGGAGTAAGGGCCAGCGAGGCCCCTGAAGGCCAGAAAGAAAAAGCAAAGTACTAGACTGCTCTGAGGGCCAAGCACTAGAGGTTAAGTCCCTTCACATCACAGCTTTTCTGGCTGATTGCTCTCTGTGAGAGCTGAGAAAAGGATTCAAGGTTCTGGGTATATGTTCCTATATCTAATCATATGTACCTTGTAGAAACCAGTTTCTCTATCCCCCATGCCTGCCCCAGCATCTTTTAAAATAAAAGGCTTGGGCAGGTGTGGTGGCACTCAGAAGCAGGCAGGTCTCTATGAGTTTGATGCCAGCCTGGTCTACGTAGTAGTGAGACCTGTCTCAAAAATCGAAAATAATAAAGAAAATAAAAGGCTTAAAACGAACGAGGAGCCGGTAACGGAAGACATGCTGGGAGCCAGCTTTTTTGCTCTGATGTCAAGTGAACCAAGGGGACCCCCTCTTTCAAGTAAAACACAGTGGAAATACTTACTATACATCTGACAGCTGGAACTAGCTACATACACTGAGCACCTAAGGTCCCTGTTCCTTGTGCCTAGCTTTCTCCCAGGTTTCTTAATTCACCCAGCTTTATAATTCTTAAAAATTTTCTTGCTTGGCAGTTGTGGAGCTCATCTTTAATTCCAGCACCTGGGAGGCAGAAGCAGATGGGTCTCTGTGAATTTGAGTTCCAGGACAGCCAGAGCTACCCAGAGAGATCTTGTCTAGAAAAACATATATATATATTCTTTCATTATGAGTATTTTATTTTTATCTTTGTCATCCTAGGAATTCAACCCCAAGTCTCATCCCTGCTGAACAAGCATTCCAGCACCCAGCTATATCCCTCTAGGACTGGAGTCCCAACCCCATGCTTAGTGTCCTCCCTTCCTCTCTCCTCCTCACCCCAGCTCTGCTCTCAGTTCAGCTAAGTGTTACCCCAGCAGCAGCATCCCTCTCTGAATCCCAAGTTCTTCCCACTGCTGGAGAAGCTACTCATACCAGACTGAGGGATTCCCAGGGCCTTACAGAAGAGGTAAAAAAAACCTAGGATCCTAAAAACGAGTTAAAAGTAATGGAGAGACTGCCTTATGTGATGGTCCATGCCTTTAATCCCAGTACTCAGGAGGCAGAGGCAGGCAGACCTCTGAGAGTTTGAGGCCAGCCTGGTCTACAGAGCGAGTTCCAGGACATCCAGAACTATGTAGAGAGACCTTAGCTCAAAAAAAAAAAAAAAAAAAAAAAAAAAAAGAAAAAAAAGAAAGACAAAAGGAGAGACTGGTGTGTCCTTGGGTTAAGCATGCTCTGTTCATAAAGAGTTGGGTCTAGCATCCATGACACATTCTTATTGCCAACTGCTTCCCCAAGTCTGTGTCTTTCTAGAAAGTCTCTGAACTGCCCCTCCCCCAGGCACTAGTGCCACGCTGGCAAGGCTGGCATGATGTGCATACCCATGACAGTGTCCCTGCCCTGAGCAGACCAAGGACTTATATATACCCTTTTCCTCTCACTTCCTCAAATCCATTGTTCCAATGATGGCTCAACTCAGAGCCTGTTGAGTAAAAATTTGTGCCCCTAGTCATACATATACATAATAAGAAATAAATACGTAGACTATATTAGGGAAAGGGCCATAATGATCTGTACACAATGCTGCTGAGAGTAGGTCTCTGTATTTGAGATTCCTATCTGCTTATAGGGTGTGTCCCCCTACTGGCTGGCAAGCCATTACCTCAAACTCAGTCCCAAAGCCTTACAGACACCATTCTTCGTTTGCACTAAGTACTAAAATAATCCATTTTATGAGTATACATGCACTCTTGTGTATACACACACAAACAGACACCTGTACTCACAAAATCAGCAATATAGGCAACTCTAACACTTATACACAGGCCAGTGGACACATAGTAAGTGTCACACACACATGCTGCCACAGGTTTAGCTAGGTGACTTTCTGGCTAGTCAAGCACCAAAGACTCATCACTCCTGGGCCCTGACTTAGGGCCTCCAGAACAGATTTTGTTTGCTTGCTTTGTTTTTGAGACAGGGCCCCTCTTTCTAGCTCTGGTTGTCCTCGAACTCTCTATGTGGATCAGGCTGGCCTCATACTCACCTGTTCCTGCCTCCCAAGTATTGGGATTAAAAGTGTGTGCCACTATTTTGGGCTGAGATGGTGGCTTCTGAAGGCCCCAAGAATAGGGCCAAGTTGATGCTACTGGAGGATGCTGACATTCAAGGAGGATTATCTCACCCCAAATTCCTTCAGAAGGACCCTGAAAGCAGCCTAGAGATGGTGACACAGAAACGCCACCAAGAGACCAGGAAGACTTCAGGTTCTGAGAAGCTGTGAGTAGTCCCTTTCCGACTCTGTGCCTCAGGTTCCCCAGAATCCCTGACAAAGTTAGTGATTTCTCAAGAACCCAAATTCATATGGTACCCTAGTTCTGTCAATATTCAGAACTAGAGGCAAAGGATGCTGGGGTCCTAGCCTGGAGGGGAAGTGGCCCAATCCTCCCTGGAGCCTCCCACTCCCAAAATAGAGCTTAGTTTGTCTTTGGCTGAAAGCTAAATATTTGTGAGCTGGGCAAGCAGCCTCAGACCCTGCCCCTCCTCCTTGGTTCCCTCTCAGGCCTGGGCTTAATTCCCCTGGCCAGCCTCTCCCCCCCCCCACCCCAGGCAGGACTCTCTCACAACCTACCTCCTCTCCCACACACCAGCTCCCAGGCCAGGCTCTCCCCTCAATACAGACCTGACCAGATCTTGCTTAATATAGGAGCCCTGGACATGGGACTCCCCCCAACTCAAAGAACTGTAGTTGAAAGCTCCTCCATGCCCACTCAGATACCTTCTGCTGCCAACCTACCCTACTGTCCATTTCTTCTCCCTGCTCTCACTCCTCACAGTTAGTGTTTAGCTGACCTTAGGGGTCCTCGATTTCTTTTTACCCAATTCTCTCTCCCCCCTTCTTTGACTGCCCTCTAACCCCTGACCCTGTTCCCCCTCCCTTTGCTTCTGCCCTCTGCTTGCCCCTCCTAGGACCCTACTCCTCTTCATCAGAAGGACCCTGGAAGTGACTCGCTTTGCAGCAACTGTCTCTATAAGCTGAAGGGGGTGGGGTAGGCATGGATTAGGACCAGGAAGATTGTAGCTGGTTTCCTAGGAAGAGGAGGAAACAGTTACCTCAAGCAGAGAGGATGCCATCCTCAGGCTGGGGATCGGGTCCCAGGGAACCAGGCAGACGGAGAGAACCGAAGAGCCAGAGGGAGAGGGAGAAGGGAGAGGGAGGGAGAATGGGAGAGAAGAGATCTAAAGTTAGAAGGGACTGGGGGGTGGGGGTGGGGGGGCTGCTCTCTGTCTGTAGGGATCCACCCTCTAATTACAGCTTTCCCAGCGGAGAAGACTCCGGATCCAATGAGGAGGGCGAGAGAGGGAGGCAGAGGGTCCAAATTTCCTGCTCCATTTGCTGAGCTCCCCAAAGAAGGGATCTGAGAGGGAGAGGAGAAAAGGGTGCCCAGGGAGCCGCTGGGCAGCAGGAATATGGGCAAGTTGTCAGAGCTTTTGGGGGGGTGCTACGGGGAAAAGTGAAAAGGGTTGGTAGACCCAGGTGTCCTACATTCCCCAGAAATCCAATGGGCATCTGTGGGCAGTCCCCCAGAACTGCTCAGCATCTGTACCTGGGGAGTCTGAGGTTGGCCGTCCCGTCTCCTCTCAAAAGGTCTGGCACGAAGACACTGGCAATGGGTGGCCTGAGGGCGCTGGGAGGATCCGCTCCTCTCTCAGGCCAGCTCACTCTTGTTCCCACTCAGATCCAATCCTATAATCCTACTCTGACTCCTTGCAGCTACTCAGTGTCGCGGCAGCTTCTGTTGCTGCTGCTGCTGCTGCTGCTGCTGCTGAGGCTGCTGCCGCCGCCGCTGCCGCTCTGCTGAGGAAAGGAACAGGAGGGAAAAGGAACAAACCCCAAACCACTAATTAGAGATCTGGGGGGGGGGGATGGGGGATTGGGGACGACACTCACACAGAGAGACTGGAACACACTGACATACACACTCATGGACAAATACAGGGATGATGCATGTACACGTACATACTGCTACCCACATGGGGACTGTCACTGTGGTGAATGAACACAGACAAACTCACATACAATGAATATGATGACACAATGGGGCACCTACACTACCACCCACCACAAGCTAGCAATGGAGATGTTTTCTTGTTCATTCAGCCACCACCTCATGAGATCAGGATGGTACTGTGCAGTGTGTGTGTGTGTGTGTGTGTGTGTGTGTGTGTGTGTGTGTGTGATGTGTGGTGTGTGGAGTAGGAGGGATGACCTATCTGCTCAGTGTGGTTGTGTCTACTGCCCAGATTTTCAGTGTCAGGCTGGAGCGGGAAGAGCACAGCATAGTTTGCAGAGGAAGGTGTCCCCAATGAGACTGTTGGGCAATGAGACCTGGGCCCTCCTCAGGTTATAAAACAGAACCTAGAACCTTAGAGATTAAAAGCAAGCAGGAATGAGGGTCAGAGCAGAGGGTCATTTGGCCAACTCATTCATGCCCACACCTAGTCTCCTGGGATTAATCTCCTCCAAAAGGAATAATCTATCATCTCTCATTCCTACTGTTGAGGGGTTGCCATCGCTGATGCCCTCTAGGGATTTAATGTCCTTCCTTCAGTAGGTGGTTTCTCTCATAAATCATCTTGTTTCCCTAGGTGGAACTTCATGGCTCTCTCCTCGATGGTCATGCAGCAATTCCCTCTCTAGAAAGAACTTATGCTAGTTCTTGGTTAGGACTTCCAACTGTAGCATCCTACCCAGATGAGAAAGAGAAGGAATGTCAATCAAAATGGGAGAAGGAAGTCTAAAATATTTATTAACTGATGCTTTGGCCCCAGGATGAGTTCACACTGGACAGCCTAGTGGTAAACATGGTATCTCTTAGGGCTGGAGAGATGGCTGGGTGGTTAAGAGCACTATCTGCACTTCCAGAGGACCTGGGTTCGATTCCCAGCACCCATGTGGCAGCTCACAACTGTCTGTAACTGCAGTTCTAGGAAACCCACTGGCACCCTCACACAGACATATATGTAGGCAAAACACCAATGCACATAAAATGAAAAAAATAATTTTACAAAATAGCATCTGTCCCACAAGGGGGCCTGTCTGGGAAGAGGAACTGCAAGTCAGTTGCCCCCTCCCTCCTCTGTCCTCAGCCAGCCTTGCCTGTCCTTTCTAGCTCTCTTTACTCCCTAGCAGCCCTCATTTTCTCTTTGTGGGGGGCAGAGAGAACCCACTTTCTTGTTCTTTTTGACCTCAGAGTTCTTCAAAAGAAAAAACTCAGAGGGCTGGAGAGATGGCTCACTGTTTGCTCTTCCAGAGGTCCTGAGTTCACAACCATCTGTAATGAGATCTAGTGTCCTTTTCTGGTCTGCATACATACATATACTGAATATACAATAAATAAATAAAATACAGACTCTTGACTGGATACATCTGGGCTGAAGCCTTGGATTCTGCATCTAAGAAAAGGAATTTTATTTATTTATTTATTTATTTATTTATTTATTTATTTATTTTGATTTTTTTGACACTGGGTTTCTCTGTGGTTTTGGAGGCTGTCCTGGAACTAGCTCTTGTAGACCAGGCTGGTCTCAAACTCACAAAGATCTGTCAGCCTCTGCCTCTCAAGTGTTGGGATTAAAGGGGTTTGTCACTACTGCTCAGCAAAAAAGAAAGAAAGAAAATTTAAAAAGAAAAGAAAAGAAAAAATTGAGAGAAGGCTGGTAATGAAGGTTCAGGGACATGGTAGTTGAAGCTGTGAACAGAAACAAATTTCAGGTAGGACTCAAGAATTCTGGATCCAAACTCCCAGATTTAATTTCTAATTCATGGCTAGAGTGCATGCTAATGGGTGAAGTATGTGGACCTGGATTTAACTTAATCTCCAGTCTCATTCTCATTTCTCTCTCCCGCTCTCTTTCTTTCTCTAACACATGATTTCACAAGGAACCCTGTGAGCCCAACACGTAAAAGAAGTATTGGGAACCAGGTGGCTGTCAGACAAAGAGGCAAAGCAAAAGACAGACTGGAAAGAAGAGAGGACACAAGAGCCCAGCAAACAGTCCCAAGAGAACTGGAAAGGGCATTAGAGAGCCCAAGAAAACAAGAAGCTGCCATGGAGTGCTCGGGAGGCAGAGGCAAGAGGGTCTCTCTGAATATGAGGCCAGCCTGAGCTACACTTTGAGTTCTAAGATAGCCAGGACTACATAGAGAAACCCTGTCTCAATTACAAACAAAAAAAGAGAAAAGAACAATAAAAAAGAAGAAGAAACAAAAACAAAATCCAAAAACAAACAAGCAAACAAAAACCAGAGACCTGGCTTTGAAAAAAGACAAAACAAAACCCAGAAAAAGCAGAAAAGAAAAGGCAACAACAATAAAAACCACCTTAAAAGAAAAAGAAACAGATCCAGACGGACAAAGATAGGACACAAGGCTACAGAAGGACAAGGGAAATAGCTAGAGGAACAGCCAGGTCTGGAGGAGGTGAAGGGTAAAGCAACCAGCAGGTGGGGGGACGGGATGAAGTATAAATAGGGCATAATTGTGTCCGATGATTACATGGGCCACCCCACCCGTCTGCCCAGAAGGAAGTGCCCGTGGTGGGACATTCCTATGACCTCGCAGTGTAGTCTCCTCCATGGTGGTGGTGGGGAGTCTAAGGCCTAAGTGTTGGTTAAATCTCTAGGATTTTAACTAAGAACTGGAAAGAAAAAAAGGAACCTCTCCAGCAGGAGAGAAATCTAGACTCTAGAAACAAAGTGAGAGAGAGAGAGAGAGAGAGAGAGAGAGAGAGAGAGAGAGATGAACTCAAACCTGATTGGACAAAAAGAGAATGGAAGGGTAAGGGATGGATGAAAAGGACAGACTCCATCTACAAAGGGGTAGATAGGCAAGGGCCAGTCTTTCCATTCCCTGTGGGAAGGAGTAGAAGCATTCAAACCCTACAAATGTTAGGGAAAGAAGCAGGAGGAGCAGAGTCCCAGGAAAATGTAAAAGCCAGAGCCTAATGTAGGAACCCAGATAGGTAGCCACTGCACACCAAGTCTCCCGGACAAGGATCTGTGTCAGCCAGGTGAGTGGCAGTATGCAGCTCTGAGATGCCACCTTTACCCTTGCCCTCGAGCTCAGGTTTCTGACTTGTCTCACACTCCAGTTAAAGACACTATTGCAAGCCAGCTGTGGACCTGGTATTCCTGGGTCCTGCTCTCCACCCACCTCTCCAGTGCCCTCAGGGACTGGAGGGCAGCAACTGGAATCTCTTCCCAAGGACCTACCTCCACCCTCACAGGCCTCCCTCAGCCCAGCCTCCCAGGGGGTGGGGCAGCCCAGGCAGAGGCGCCATGTGGCAGGGGCGGGTAGAGGCTGCGGCTCTGGCCCTTCCAGTATAAACCCCCTAGGCATCTGGTTTCTATCCACCACCCCCACCACCCTGGGGGCCCCTCAGCCTCCGCCCATGGCCACCCAGACACTGAGCTCTGAGATGGACGTCCCTTGAAAGGGTGGATGGTGCCTTCTGATCTCCCAATGCCACACTGGGCTGAACCGCAGGGACCACTCCCTTCCCTCCCTCCCTTGAGAGATTCAGGGTGGGCTTCTCTAGACTATAGGGGTTAAATTTGGAACCTGCCTTCAGTTCTAATGATTTTACATCTTTTTGCAAAGGTGGAAGGAGAATGAAACTCAGGGAGAATGGGAAGTTATACTCCCTGTTCCTTGAGGGGCATTAGTTACCTTCTTCACAATCTTTGCCTACGCTCACCTGTTAAGGTTTCTCTCTGAAATCTCTAATCCAGGGACTCCTAGGCTTTCCTCGAAACTGCTGTAGATTTGACTGCTTAGACTCACCAGAAAGGAGAAAAAAGAACCCTCAAAATTGACACATAACCCTACAAGCCTGATGACTAACACACAATCAGGTACACATACTAGCACACTTTCTGGAGAACATAGAACCCATTCACATTATGTAATGTACAGATACCCACAGTAACACACACTGACTCATAGATGTGCTATACATACCATGCTTACACAAAGGCTCCCTGAATCCCATTCACACCAGCACAAATACTCACAGCTATATATGTATTACCAGCAAAATACTCACAGGTATGTATGTATATGTAAATACGTCTGTATACAGATTCAGTAACCTTGATACCTCTTGTGGACTCACATAGACTCATTTCAACATAGCATCTCCAAACAAGCAAATGTCATAATCCCATCACTTGAGAGGTAGAAGCAGGAGAATCAGAAGTTTAAAGTTATCCTCAAATACGTAGTGAATTCAAGGTTAGCCTGGGCTACATGAGGCACTATCTCAAAAAGTAAACAAAGAAATCTGAGGATAGGCATGATATGGCCAGCCCTATATATTGCTCTCTCTACCTTCTACTTTACTACTTTGATTCCTTTACCACTCACACCCCTAGGAGTCAAGATACCCAGATGGCCTTAAGCAGACTCCTTGGCCCTGGGGAACCCCAGGCATCCCCACCCCCACCCAACTGCCCCCCTGCTCTGTGGCCCTGCTGACTCATCTCTCCCTCTGTGGAGCTCCCCAACCACAGGGGCCTGGAAGAGAAGCCTGGAAAGTTGCGCTCATGTCCCGGGCCCCTAGTCTGGCCACTATCCACCCTGCCCCCAAGCACCCAGGCCCAGTCCTCCTCTCTAGTGGTGACTCCAGTGACAGACAAAGAGATAGGAAGAAGAAGGTACCCAGAAATAAGAAAACAGGAAGACAAAAGGAG